CATCTGAATATTGAAATGTGATTATTTCAAATATGCATGTGTGTTTCTGAAGGCATTGGCACAACTTTTACATAAAGGGCCAGTACTACCAGCGTGGCATTCACATTCATTGCCCAGTCACTAACAAATAGACTGTTTGGTTTCATTCCTCACCAGCATACTATTCCATGCACTTTTTAACTAGATACCTTTTCAAAGTCCCTTGTAGCATTACAGCTTAAGTATCATGCTATGTACATGTTGCAAGTTTGTGTTTGCACGTCACGTTTATGAGTGTAGTATGTTACATGCACCCAATAAGGTTTCTGCCTTGGCAGCCTTCATTCAAGGGATATGCCAATTTAGCACATCATATTACAAGTTATCCCACACTGCTATATAAATGCCAGCTTTTTTTGAGATGTAGATTTTTTTGGCAAAAATAAAAAATATCAAATGCATAGCAATACATAACACTGCAAGTCTACCAGTCTTGTAATTGTGGTCAGGATTCTCTCTCATTGGAAATGGCACTTGAGTACATTTTCACTGATATGATGGACACATTATAGTATTCACCTCATTGAGACAATGTTAAAAAAATTGAAAGGCTTGGATGAACAGGAGATAATCATGGAAGTTTGGACACAATAGAGAACAATGGCCTTCATCCACGCAAAACTTTGGCTTTGTAAGTTGAAGAAATACAAATAAATTCATCATATGAACTGTATAGTGACATGATGGACTCATAATAGACCATGATTGCTTTTTCTCCAAGTACAATACACCAATTAATCTTGTGAACCTCTGAAGAACACCCTGTCCATTTAGTTTCATGATTTTAAAATTAATTTTAATAACTGTTTTGTCTTTTTACTAATGGCGCAAACTTTTCCTTTGCCCTTTATTTTTTCTTCCACTAATGATTATCTTTAATTAACACTTTCTCTCTCCCTCCTGTAGGTTATAGCTGATGACAAACTAACCGGCACCTGCCTTGCATGCTTCCATGTGTTTTCTGCTAATCTTCAGCTTCGTGGACAGTTGCCTTCCATCCACAAAACAAATATTCACCAATATTAGGAAATCTTTTTAACCCTTGGATATGTATCTTCTGCTTTGATCTCCTCCCGCCTGCTATTCTCTTGGTGTGGGCTGTTTGCTTGAATAACAAATTCTGACTGCAAGAAGTCGACTTGGCACTAACAATAGGACCAGCTGCAATATTTGCTTCTGCAAGCACTTTTCGGGCAGCAGTAACTCTTTACAAAATTGGGTTTACCAGCATTATAGTGAAATAATTGCACTGAGTGCTTTTTTTGTATGTACCCTGCTAATAAGCTATTTTATAGCATTAATTTGCGTGTGTGTGTCTTTAAGATTGTCCATCAAAAAACAGCTCCTTACAATTTTCATTTACATGTCCATATTTGAGTTTGCTTTGCCATATAGGTTCTATTATATTTTAACAGAAACTGCTTTATTTAATACCTCCTTCCCCAGTGTTCTTACTTGGGGTTTTTTTTTGTTTGTTTTTTTAATTCTTTTATTTGTCTGAGAGATGTTTTTCCACACTATGAATTAGCACTCCAACAAGCTTAAGTGACAGTTCTGACAGAGACCAGCACTAAAGTGTATTTTTTTTTTTTATATAGGCCAGCCTACCTGAACTGGAAATATTTCTGGTCAACTATTTTGGCCTAAAATTTGAACTATTTGAATGTTGCCTTGTGAGACTGTTTGTATCTATAAATGTTTGAGATTACTCAAAGGCATACATTGGCAACTTTCAGGGCTGATAATGCTTGCATTGGAGATTCACAAACAAAAGCTAAATCTCCCTGCCTTTTCTACAACAGCTTTTTTTCTTTTAGTAATTTGGCACTGTTTTGTTTTGTAACAAACAGCCATTCATTGCTCATTTGTTATGAAGGAAATATTGTAGTATCTGTGGAGTTAGAATAACATATTTCATATCTATGATATACAGTGTGGCCCATAGAATGGGAAGAAATAGTTGCACTTTCTGAGCTTTTCTGTTTGTTTTATCAAGCAGAATATTTTAGTAGTTTTAGTAATTTACTAGCCAAGTTTTTTATCACTTGCATATGTTTTGTTGGTTGCATTTTATTTATCTAGTAGTTAACAAACAGTGACATTTTTTTATAATTATATACATATTTATATATTTGTGTGTGTGTACCTCCTAATGTTGGAGGTGTGGGACTGGAATGATTGTGGGTGGGGTAAAGGGGCAGGCCCATCCAGAAAAGAGAAGGGTCTCCTATGCACACCAACCTGACTGACAGCCTTGCTGGCCTCACTCAGTCTTGCAGTCTGCTCAGAGCACCATTGAAGCACTTTGCCCATGGGCTGAATGACTTGACACTAACATGCACAGTGCAAGCGAGTCTAGTGATGTCCTTGTGCAGTGCTGATTGGTGACATTTCTCCCACATCTGGGGATACCAGGTATCAAACCTGGAACAATGGTCAAAGTTGCGGTGTGTTTGGTTTTTTATTTTTCTCGAAAATTAGAATTTGCTGTTATCCAGTCATTATTCTGTCTTTGAAAACGTCTAATGTCACCTAAACAGTTTGTTATCAACAAGGCAGCCTTTTGTTTTGTTGGACAATTTTACTGCACGCTTGAGTGATTATAAGTACCATTTTTGTAAAGAGGATGAAGTGTAAGTTAAACTATTTTAACCGTTCTAATTTAGATATGTTTGTTTTGTCCCCCTTTTTCTAGCATTAACAGTAGCAAAATTGTCCCCCGTTTTGAAAGGCTTGGCCTGGGAATCTTGGAGCAGGGTAACCAAAAGATCTAGTCTGCTGAGGAATGTCTAATTGTCTCTCCTAACACTCCAGAAACCACCAAGTTCCAATTGCAGATACACTGATGACTCCCTGTAATTGATTTACTTTATCTGTGTTACTGAATTTACTTCAACCCATTCTGCACTGAACAGGAGCAATGCAGTGCCTTGCCTATCCCTCCCACCGCTGAATGGCTTAAGCCTTAACTCTACCTACTGTTTATGTTGTTTACATATGATTTTAGGCATGTGAGCTGTATTTTGACAATGGAAAATAATAAATGTGACTGACTTTTTAAATTTTATTTTGTTTAAAAAAAAGTATGTGTGTGTGTGCGCGCGAGTGTGTATAAATAAATATATATATAGATATAGTTATATCTATATATATATATATATATATATTGTAATGTACTTAAATACTTTTTGTATAAGCTATACCATGAATGGTCTTTGGGGGTTTGCAATTATTGATTTTATGGTATAACTACATTCATTTCTTCCATCACTAAGCCATAAGATGGACAGTTCTTAGCCACATAATTGTATTAGAGTTTCTAAAAACTACACCTCTGAAATAATCCTCTTGGTGAAATGTATATATAAATAAACAAGTTTCATTCATCTGTAGTGGTTTTCATTCCAGTCATTCTTATGCAGTAGAGCAAAATGCCTTATTGTGGAAAATTGTATCTATTGCACAAAAATGTTTTAATGCCTGTACTCCGGTACATATATTGATGTCAACACAAAGGAAATAACTAATGGTTGCTATCTCTTGTCATGAGAGATCTTTACACTCTTTTTCAACAGGACTATCGGGATTATCCTGAAGGAAGGACATAGCAGCTCCATTACAAGGTCCCATCATGAGAATAAAGCATTATTGCCAAGCAAGCACTGTTTACTCATGTTCATGCTGAGTTCAAAAACATGTCTTGGGTTCCTTTAAATAATTGCTGAGTGAAAACAAGTGATTAATCTCAAAAGTCTATCTATAAGAAGAAGAATATTTACTGCTGTGAGATTCATCCAATAGCTAAATCATGATCCTATTTACTAAAAATACATTTATAACACACTTATTTATTTTGAGCTGTAGACAGTATATGGCATAGTGATGGCAACACTTGGCACCCTAAATGTCTGGGAACATATTTACATGATACTTTAAGCAGGCTCTAGGTTAGCCGTCATTAATGTAAATTTGATTGCCTTTCCTAAGATTTGCCATGTCTGGAATATAACTTGTTGTTTTTCCCCAGATAGGCATTCTGTGCAGGTGGAAATTCTTTCTTGTTTCTTGTCCAGTGTTTGCTGCAACAAATCATGGGATTTAAATTATGTCTGCTCTGGTGCTAGTAAAACAAACATTTGTTGTCATAGTCACAAGCTCAGGACACTAGAGGTTGTGTCTCATATGAAGGAAATAGTCTTTAACCAGTGGTGTTCACAAATAAGAGATAATATTTAAACAATTTTAATTAATTACCATTAAAATAAATACATTTATACAAACTAATAAAACCTGTGGGCTTTGAAGTTGCTGTTTAGTCGATGAGTGAGTGCGCTGTCTCATATATATATATATATATATATATATATATATATATATATATATATATATATATATATTAATTACACAAGATCCAGCGCACTCACTCATTGACTAAACAGCAACTTCAACTGTATGTGTATATATATATATATATAGAGAGAGAGAGAGAGAGATATATACGTTTGCATACCTTGACAGAAATTGTGAAATTTTGCCATTGATTTTGAAATAATGACTGATCAAGCAAAAAAGTTATTTTATTGAAGGATAGTGATCATATGAAGCCATTTATTATCACATAGTTGTTTGGCTCCTTTTTAAATCATAATGATAACAAAAATCACCCGAATGGCCCTGAGCAAAAGTTTACATACCCTTGAATGTTTGGCCTTGTTACAGACAAACAAGGTGATACACACACAGGTTAACATGGCAATTAAAGGTTATTTTCCCACACCTGTGGCTTTTTAAATTGCAATTAGTGTCTGTGTATAAATAAATAGTCATAAAATGAGTTTGTTAGCTCTCACGTGGATGCACTGAGCAAGCTAGATACTGAGCCATGGGGAGCAGAAAAGAACTGTCAAAAGACGTAACAAGGTAATGGAACTTTATAAAGATGGAAAATTATATAAAAAGATATCAAAAGCCTTGAAAATACCAGTCAGTACTGTTCAATGACTTATTAAGAAGTGGAAAATTTGGGGATCTCTTGACACTAAGCCAAGGTCAGGTAGACCAAGAAAGATTTCAGCCACAACTGCCAGAAGAATTGTTCGAGATACTAAGAAAGACCAGCAGGTACCTCGGGAGAAATACGGGCTGCTCTGGAAAACGACGGTGTGGTTGTTTCAAGGAGCACAATATGACAATACTTGAACAAAAATGAACTGCATGGTCGAGTTGCCAGAAAGAAGCCTTTACTGCTCAAATGCCACAAAAAAGCCCATTTACAATATTCCCAACAACACCTTGACACGCTGCACAGCTTCTGGCACACTGTAATTTGGAGTGACAACACCAAAATACAGCTTTATGGTTACAACCAGAAGTGCTATGATTGCAGAGGGGTCAGTAAGGCCTATAGTGAATAAAATACCAAACCCACTTTAAAGTATGGGTGTAAACTCTAAAGGCATGGGGAATCTTGATAGAATTGATGGCAAGATGAATGCAGCATGTTATCAGAAAATACTGGCAGATGAGCATCCTTTCTAGTTGGTGCTTGTACCAGTTGTGACATAAAGGTGTCATTTAACACATTAAAAAAAACCTTATTCCCCTTGCTGAAGTACTAGTCACTCTATCCCAATTTATGTCCGGGTAATTAAAATCTCCAATAATTAACGTGTTACCCCGATTTGCAGCTTTCCCAATTTGAACAGCTCTTTTTCCAAAATAATATTTACATTAGGTGGTTTATAACATATCCCAACCAATAATTGATTTCCTTTTGTTTGCCCCAAGCAGATATATACCCATAAAGCTTCAACATTTTCCTTGTCACACTCCACATGCCTAAGATTTGACTTTAACTCATGGTTGACACACAAACATACCCCACCACCCTTCTTGTTTTTCCTATCCTTCCTAAATAACGTGTACCCATTTAAGTTAACTGCCCCTCTATTGATTACAGCAGAAAAAGGTGAAGGTTCTGGAGTGGCCATCATAGTCTCCGGATCTTAATATCATCGAGTCACACTGGGGAGATCTCAAACATTTATGCAAGAAGACCAAAGACTTCGCATGACCTGTAGGCATTTTGGTAAGACAAATGGGCAGCTATACCACATGCAAGAATTATGGCCCTCAAAGACAACAATTACAAAAGACTGCACGCTGTCATTAATGCTAAAGTGGGCAATACACAGTATGAAGAACTAAGGGTATGCAGACTTTTGAACAGGGGTCATTTCATTTTTTTTTCTTTGTTGCCATATTTTGTTTTATTATTGTGCCATTCAGTTAAAATCTACAGTTGGATATGAATCCCATAAGAAATAAAAATAAATGTGCTTTGTCTGCTCACTCATGTTTTCTTTAAAAATGGTTCATGTATTACCAATTCTCCAAGGGTATGCAAACTTTTGAGCACAACTGTATATATTCACTCATGTATAAAATACACACATATTGGGCAATCTTTGGTACAAAGCATTGGCTGCAAGCAGAACATTTTAATACATACCCTTGAGAACCCAATGTCTTGCAAGCTCTGGAAATAATTAATATCTCAGCTGTATAATTCAGGGTCTTTAGGATATTGGTATTTTCTAACTTATTATTGCACTCCAGAATATTATACTGCTTTATTACAAAGATGATATTTACAACTCTGATAACATGGCATGCATGTTTAGTTTCGTTTAGGGAATAACAACTTCAGGAATTCATTGTAAGAGTTATTTCTGATAAATTTGTAAAACTAAAAGATATTGACTAACCAGAGAATTGTGCTGAATTAAACAGGTGGAGGTTAGTTTAAAGGGACACTTTAGTCACCAAAACAACTTTAATTTAATTAAGCAGTTTTCATTAGCAACTTCATTAAGCTAAAATTGTTTTGGTGACTATAGTGTCCCTTTAAACTTTATGTGGAAGGAGACTCCTTCCCAAGGTAAAAATGTTTGGGTCTTTTGATTATTTTTCAATAAACCTTTCGATCTAACATGGCTTTGGTTCAGTAATAGCAATTGTACTATGTGTCTTGTGTTTCATACAGTAAAATGATGTCACTGTAAATTAGGGTTCACCAAGACGTGTGTGTTTGTCATCTTGTCATGATGTAGGAAGTCACACAGCACTTTGCCTAATCTTTATTGTTCATGGAAACATAGAATGTGGCAGCAGATAGGAACCATTCAGCCCATCTAGTCTGCTCAATATTCTAAATACCTTCATTAGTCCCTGGCCTTATCTTATAGCTAGGATAGCCTTATGCATATCCCACGCATGCTTAAACTCCTTTACTGTGTTAACCTCTACCACTTCAGCTGGAAGCCTATTCCATGCATCCACTACCCTCTCTGTAAAGTAATACTTCCTGATATTATTTTTAAACATTTGCCCCTCTAATTTAAGACTATCATCAGAACTGCTTGCTGGCTGGAGTTATAACTCTGTAAATGGCTTCCTAGATAGATAGACTGTGCCAAATTGTTTTTAATTTCTGAATCTTTGCGGCAGGATTCATTGACGTTAGAAGGGAAAAAACAGGTGTTACTACAAGGGAAATAAAAGAGTATAATGCAGAATTAAGCAGCTGCTTAATATGGGATTTGAACATTCACTTCTTGGTGGCTATTAAAGAGATTCCGGGTCACGTGAAGATCTGTGTCAACTTCCGGTTACGTGGGCACGTGTTGCGTTTGTCTCCTATTACTACAGGAGGTGTAATAACGTCCATCTAAAGTATGGGCAGTACTGCCCTTCTTATTGGAAACATATCGGCATTTCTATCTTAAGCAGAAAGACATAAATTAAAATTGGATAAAACATCCTAATAAGGCATATATTACCCACATTATTACATATGTATTTACAAATATATGGAAAATTACATTACAAATAAATATAACTCTCTATGGAATACCTTCATTAGAAATGAGCAAATCTATTTTGGGGATAATATAATCAATGTTGAGCAAATCAATGAACCACAAAACAGATCAGATCAATGGTAGATTTGCTCATTATTCCATAGAGCGTTATATTTATTTGTAATGTAATTTTCCATATATTTGTAAATACATATGTAATAATGTGGGTAATATATGCCTTATTAGGATGTTTTATCCAATTTTAATTTATGTCTTTGCTATTTGGATTTGTAAGGACTTACTATACTATCTGCGGTAGTGTATTATATTTGCACACTGCTTATGCATGTCCTTTTTTACTTTGATTTTTATCGATGTTTTAATAAATTTTTTTACTATTGATCCTGCTTCTGGAGTACCTTCGAAGCCAGTTATTGGCACCCTGACGCTCATCATATAGAGCCTGACACGGCTCTACGCTTGTGAGTTGATACCTCATATTTCCTTTCTTTAATATTGTTATATACAGACTTCACTATGTGTGGCAACATTTGTTTTTTTATAGATCTCCCAGGAAAGAAATTTCACTATTGTCATTTAGACGTTACTAGTGGGAAGTATACCCATATAAGTGTCACGTTGGGTGTGGTATTAATGTGGTAATTGTATTATCACGTTTATTTATTATTTGGATTGTTAATGTGATTGGGAACACCTGTATATACATACACACTGTATACTATTTGAAGCGCCTATACACCTTCTGACTCTTTGAGTGTCTGTTTACTGGTTTTGAACTAGTTTCTAAATGTTTAAATTTCCCAGAAAGTAAAGTAAGTAAAAGTAAAGTTTCCTTAGCTAGGTTTTTAAAGTTTCAGTGCCATGTTGGGCAGGAATCTAACTGTAACTAGACTGCAATGGGGAAGCCGAAAACACAAAGTAAGATTTTTACATTACTGGCCCATACATGTCTAAGCTGAAAGCAGTCTTTTAAGGCCATCTTCTTTTTGAGCGCATGCAGGCATGTTCCGGCTAAATAATTTTATGCTTACAATAATCTGGATTATTAATAAAGCTTATCAAATTGAACAGGGTAAGCAGTAGTCAAATACGTTTGTTTCTAAGCATTTAATATTTTAATAAAAACAGTGGTGATGTAGGTGCAAACAGCAGGCATTTTCAATATAATTTTTTTTAAATGTAAGTTTATATAAGCCAGGGGTAGGCAACCTACGGCACTAGTGCCATGCACGGCACTCAAGGCTGCTAGAGCCAAACAGGCTCTGGCCTATCAGGAGTCCCAGTAAAACTTCAAATATCTGCTAATACGAAAAGATGGTGAAGGACAATCCTCAATTTAAGCATTGCAGCACATAGAGGAAATGATCTCAGATCACTTCCTCCAAGCACTTGTGAATGGGAATCCACAACGTAGTAGAGCAGCCTGCAGCTGCTGTTGCAGCTCCTGTCTTTGACCTGTACCAGGCCAGCCTGGTCCCCACTGGAACCCAGGGAAGCTAACCATACTGCTAGATATACACAGATATTGTGGATCAAACCAAGTGTTTATCTGAGTATCTGCCCCTTTCCAAATTGTTAAAATAAATGCGTGCACGCTCTGAAGTAAATCACACTGAGACACAGGTATCAGGTTAATGAAAAACTTTGGAATGTTTAATCAGGGGGCGGCAAGCCACTTATAAAGGCAAAAATACATCATATGCAAAAATGTAGATAACAGAGAGAATACATCTTTAATTGGTTAGGTGTTAAGTGTCTTATCTAATGCACATCCTACAAGGCGTGATGTCACCATCATCCCGGGATTTTACTCTGGATGTAGGCACCATCTTGTTACACAAGGTAGTTAGTCGGTGGGAGGGGGTGCTCTAGCAGCCATTTTGAGTAGATATTTAATACAGGTATGCACAGTAAATAGACATTTTACCATCACTAATTTACATTCATAACACAGAAATGAAGAATAACCCTCCCCTCAGTGGCGTACACATGACCCATGGGGCCCCGGTGCGAAAATTGATCCGTGGGCCCCCCCCGCGCGCGGGCCACAACACATGGCGGTGGGCACCTGGTCGCAGGGGTTACAGGGCTGCGACCGCGGTATGTACGCCAGTGCATGCAGATGCACACACACTTAAAGGACCACTCAATGAAGTTGTCTGGGTGTCAGGTCCCTCTAGTTTTAACCCTGCAGCTGAAAACATAGCAGTTTCGGAAACTGCTATGTTTCACTGAGGGTTAATCCAGCCTCTAGTGGCTGTCTCACTGACAGCCGCTAGAGGAGCACACTGAACGTCCATAGGAAAGCATTGAGTAACCCTATGGCGGTTTTGAATCGTCGGTCGCATTCGGGAGCTGAGAGGCTGAGGATCCCCAGGTCCGGCGCTGGAGAAAGGTAAGCTGACACACACACACACAAACGCGCATACACTAGCTAACAGAGACACACTCAGCAACAGACATACATACACACACACACACACTCACTGACAAGACATACACTCTCATTGACAAACACGCACTCACTAACAGACATCAAAGACTCACTGACACTCACTTGCAGACACACACTAACACTCACTCTAACACTCTCACACACTAACACTCACTCACACACTCTAACACTCACTCTCACACACTCTAACACTCACTCTAACACACACTCTCACATGTTTTTTTTATTTTTTAAATGTAATCCCCCCAGCCTCCTTACCTTTTGGAGTGCTGGGGGGATTCCCTGGGGTCCAGTGGTGCTGCTGGGCGGGTGGCCGGTCAGGCAGGTAGGCGCGCGAGGGAGCACTCAGTGCTCCGGTATCAGTGCGGTGCGCGAGGGAGCTGAAGAGGAAGCACTGAGTGCTCCCTCGCGCGCCCACCCGCCCGCCCGCACGGACACCAGGTCGCGACCCCTGCGACCCTGGTATGTACGCCACTGCCTCCCCTTATACAAATAGTACGAACAGCCCACACACAAACATACACACAATCTGCACAAATGTAACCCACTAACAATCCACATACATGCACACAACCCCACATGCAGCCTCTCACATGCAATACCCAAAACAGCCCACACACACTACCAAACACACAATGTGACTTATCCATCCACACACAATTCCACAAGCAGCCCTCATACACAGCCCACATTCATATGTATCATACACAATACCATAAACTACTAAAGAAGATATACAATATAATAGCTTATATACGCACAAATACAACGATGCAAAGCAACTGCAGTAAAAATAACACAAGCAGAATACGGCAGCATACACACCTCAATTTTAAAAAAATAGGACCGGCACGCTACGGGACATCACAATCCTATATCGGCACAATGCTACTAAAAGGTTGCCTACCCCTGATATAAGCCATCTCAACCCAATTACTCATTAACATGGCACCTTAATAACCATTCCCCTAGGCAATAGCTATGTAAATATAGGCTAACTAAAAACAGTGTATGAAGGAAGTATATAGACTGGTCAGAGTCAGTGAGACACAATGTAATATCTATCTTCGTTCTGCTAATGCATTGTCCTTAATGCTCTGAATCCTCTAGGAGGGAAGAACGTGCCAAAGAAGTAAGTTATTATTTTGTATCATTGAAATGAACGGTACGTTGTCTATTAGTATTTAACATTAGAATGGTGGTTCCCTGTTATATTGGGTTTTTAATGTTTCTGTTAAGTATTTCAGTCCATTCAGTGCACAATAAGCATTGCTTCTATATTTAGATATTTATTGAGATTTCTATTTATCAATGAACAGTGCAACAATTTTAAGCGCTAATTCTAGATGTAGTGCACTGAGAGGAGACGTTACATTGATTGCCATAATGATTACGGTCTTGCATTCTTGCTCTGTATATGAAAGTGCTTGAAGTAATAATTAGCCATAAAGTAAGCAGCAGCTAGGTAAACACTATAATATATGCAGTTTTTATTTCCAACTCAACTTTCAGATGAATGAAGACAAAGTGTATGTAGAACTCAGAGCAAACATGGCAATGTTTATGGGAAACTTTATGAGCATTTTCAGTCCTATTAAATCTAAACCCCGGAAACGTCATATAGTTTAACCGTTGCTCCCTCACCGAGAATCCCTGGTGCAGATATAATCCTTGTTTAATTACTAGTGAATTACTAGTGAACTCATTTTTTAAATTAGCACACAGTCTATTGCTGCTACCTGAGACACTTTAAATCAAATAACAGCTCATGTAGTTGGCATTGCTAACACAGCTCTGTATACTAAAGGGCAGTGGGTATTTTGTTCTAGATCCTACAGCTGAGCTATAATGTAGATTTTCAGGATTTCTCAAACTCTTGAATGACGATCAGCACCGCAAGATTTTGAAGATGTTGAATCCCTGGTCACATCCACCTTAATTGAGGTACTGAGAATCTGGAAGGCTGCAATATTAGTGGTCTCACTTTACAAAATATATAATATATTTTGAAAATGCAACTGAAATAACATTTATAGAAAATCTAAAAATGATTTGATTTTTTTGCAGGCCTTTCAATAGGATGCACAAAACTCAAACTTTTTACATATAGTGTCAAAATATCAACCAAATTCACCACATGCTTATCTCATAATGTAATGAAATATTGTCCATGCTGATCTCTCAATAAACCGGTTTGTTACATAAATTGAAGCATATTGGCATAGTCTCTGATACTTCTCTTCACTCTCTAGAGATCTGGTGAAGGCTTGGGGACTCTGGTCTCACCTTTCCCTTCCTCTGCTCCTCTCTTGTAGTTTGTTTTTCCTTTGTGCCATTTTATTTTGATTCCAGCAGCAGTGCATCATGTTTAAATTGGGGTTGGATTGCTTTGCATCTAATGGGGTGCCCAGTCACAATCTGTGGCTTCTTATAGTTGCAGATATTATTTTACGTGGAACTATTTTGTTTGTATGATATTTGTGGTGTTGTTTGTCCATTTCCTTCAACACAATGTATGTTTTGAAAGCTTCAATAAAACTTTAACAAAAAATAAATAAAAAATATTGACATAGTCTGTTTAGGAAAGGACTATTTCTGCTGAAATAGCCTCATTCCTACTCAGTGCTAAAGTGTTGTTGTTGGCCAAAAACTGCATTCATCTTCCTATATTTTAAAACAGAACAATTCATTTAACCCTATTATGAGTAATGATGATTCTCACCTGCCATCCGTAAAATATACATTGATGACTAATGATGTGTGAGACACCTCATGGCAATAAATGACTCTTAATATTGCTGCAATCTCTGAGAAAATATTTTACAAGTTGTCGCATGTACATGCAATTACCAGACAGTCTCCTGAGGCTGTTCAGTAACACACTTAAGAGGCTGTCACAGTCGTCATATGGCATGATTGACAGCCGATCCAAGCTGCCACATTGCATGTTGCTAGACTTCATCGCAATTCAGCAATTCAGCAGTAGTCAATCACATTGGAAGCCTATCAGAGTATTGACCTGCCTTACCTGTCAGCTAAAACATGTCATTACTGTGATTGGCTCCCAGGGTGATCCATTAATCAGGGGGCCTATCTACTAAACTGCATAGCTAAGGTTAAGAGAGCTTGATGCTAGACAGCATGGTGACACAGTTTCACCACCAAATAGCATATCAGGAAAGCACGTACAGAGGCATGCCAAAAGTAGAGCACGTATGTACTGACCCTATAAATTACCTCTAAACTGGAAAAGGTTATCATAAGGGGTATTGCTATAAAATCAGGGTCTTGTAGGCAGGGCCGTCTATAATATGATTAGGACCCTGGGCAATGCATTTTCTTGGGCCCATGGGCCCTGCCACTGCCTCACCCCCCAATTACGTCCAACCCGCAATCACACTGACAGACGTACTGGCACATACACACACAGACAGACATTAAAACATTCACAGATACATACTGACACACAAAGTCACTACACACAAATATATACTGGCAGACATACTGACACACACACAGACATACATACATACACAGACACATACATTAACAGAAATACTGACACACACACAAACACATAAACTGACAGATATACTAAAACACACAGACACATACACTGACAGACACATTGACACACACACACAGGCATACTGACATATATACACACACACACAGGCATACTGACATATACACAGACAGACGTAATGGCTGATACAGACAGACATTAAACATTCACAGATATATACTGACACACACATACACTGACATACAAATATATCCTGGCAGACATACTGACACACACACATACATACACACACAGACACATACACTGACAGACATACTGACTGACACACACATACACACACAGACATACTTACATACACACACAGACATACTGACACACAAAGACATGCTGACACACACACACAGACATACTGACATACACACAGACAGACTGGCACATACACACAGACAGACATTAAAACATTCACAGATACATACTGACACACACATACACTGACACACAAATATATCCTGGCAGACATACTGACACACACGTACACACACACACAGAGACATACCTACATACACACACACAGACATACTGGCATACACACAGACATACTGACACACACACACACACACACACAGACATACACACACAGACATACTGGCATACACACAGACATACACACACACACACATACTGGCATACACACAGACATACACACACACACAGACCTACTGACATACATTTAGCCACCCTCCAGGTTCTTACCTTTTCCTGGAGGGTGGTTTCCCTGGTCCAGTGGCAGGCTGAGGCAGATGGGAGTTCTCCTCTGGAACTCCCCTCCTCCCTGCCTTCCTCCTCCTGCGCGGCTATCTCCGTTGGGAGGAAGTGACGTCACTTCCTCCAGCCGGCTGCAGAAGCGGAAGAGGGGCCCGGTCGCCCTGTTTAAGCGCCACAGCGCCCGACCGGGCCCCTGCTGACACATGCTCCCCGGGTGGCCCTTAGTGCATGGGCCACCCGGGGAGCCTCCTCAGTGTGCGGGAGCCGCACCGCAGGGGCTGCGCAAATGGCAGGGCCCACAGAGCAGCTGCTCTGGGCCCCCAGGAGCAACTGGGCCCGTGGCAGCTGCCCTGTTTACCCCGCGTTAAAGACGGCCCTGCTTGTAGGATATACATGGTCTGTGAAATTAACCCTGAAAATGACATGTTTGGGTAAATCGCAATAAAATTTAAATATTCCCAGCAATTCTGACTGGGTTGGTGACAAAACCAAAAAATTAAAATTACCAATAGTTAAATATCCCAATGGGCCTACTTTCTACAAATACATACTTTTGTATAGATATTTTGGATTCTATAAATGCTATTAAAGTTATGGTGTCAGCATGCCTAACTTGGCTAAAGTTAAGTTTTAATATCTCAATTCACTGTTTGCCATATTAATTCTATATCTTCCAAAAATGTATTTAAATCCTTGACATATAAAGCATTTTCTCAGCCAACATGAATTTATGAGCAAATGTTTGAAAAAAATTTATACAATTAAATGTGCTATTGTTACAATGATACAAAAAAGTTAAAGTTGGGAAAACACATTTCATGATGAATTGGCCAGTAGTGATGTCCCGAACGATTCGCCAAACGGTTCGCGAACGTTTAGCCGCGAACGGTTCGCCACGGACTCATCATTGAGTAAACTTTGACCCTGTACCTCACAGTCAGCAGACACATTCCAGCCAATCAGCAGCAGTCCCTCCCTCCCAGACCCTCCAACTTCCTGGACAGCATCCATTTTGAAGCTGCATTCTTAGTGAGCTGTCCAGGAGGTGGGAGGGTCTGGGAGGGAGGGTGTGCTGGTGATTGGCTGGAATGTGTCTGCTGACTGTGAGGTACAGGGTCAAAGTTTACTCAATGATGAATCCGCGGCGAACCGTTCGGGACATCACTATTGGCCACTTTCAAAAGTCAAGTACCTGGTTTAATTTCTGGATAATGATTAAAATCTAAAAGGTATTTCATGATGCAAGGGAAAAGTTTTGACATAACTATACTTAATTAAACCTTCCCAGTCTAACTAGCCTGGAAGAATGTAAACTATGATTCATAATTACAAGCTATGCAGACTGGTCCAAATCTAAGACCAAAGGATATAAAACCTACAATATCCTATTTAGTTTAGAAAAACGTCGCCTGAGAGGGGATATGATAACATTATACAAATAGATTCGGGGCCAATACAAACCACTGCGTGGAAATCTATTCACAAACCGGACTTTACATAGGACACAGGGTCATGTATTTAGACTGGAAGAAAGAAGATTTTGTCTAAGGCAAAGGAAAGGTTTTTTTTACTGTAAGAACAATAAGGATGTGGGATTCTCTGTCTGAAGAAGTAGTTTTATCAGAGTCCATACAGATGTTCAAACAGCTACTAGATGCATACTTGCAAAAACAGAATATTCAAGGATATAATCTTTCAATGTAGGGCAATAACTGCTTGATCCAAGCATAAACCTGACTGCCATTCTGGGGTCAAGAAGGAATTTTTCCCCTAGCTTGTTGCAAAATTGGAAGTGCTTCAAACTGTTTTTTTGTTTGTTTGTTTTTTGCCTTCTTTTGGATCAACAGCAAAAAACAAATGTGAGGAAGGCTGAACTTGATGGACGCAAGTCTCTTTTCAGCTATGTAACTATGTAACTATATCCACATGACGTGGGCATGACCTTCTGGAGTCTTAAAACATTCTGAAGACATTTTAAAGATAATATTTTTTATTTTTTTTAATGTCCCTTTTTTTCTGTTTGCAACAGTTGTAATTTGTTGCTATTGATTGTTGAGGAGTGTTACTTATTCTTTTATACAGTAAAACTCCTCTTTAAAAAAATAACTTTTCTTTGAATGAAAGCTACTTACTGCACTGCACATAAATTAGAGCAGTCTAATTGTGCAGAGGAATGTGGACACCAGGAAGAAAAATGTAAATAGCACACCTTATATCTTTCTCTTCAACCAATTTTTCTGCGTTTAAGAATAACCGTCCTAGGTCAGTAGTTCTGGCATTTGATTGGTTTCAATGTGACATTCCAGAATGTTAAGTCCAGGCCAAGTTTAAAGTTGAATCAGACTTAACTATGAATTAATACAATAGTTTACATTGGAGGGGGACCTAAAGCAGACCTTTCTATTCATCTTGTTTGGAAACATATTGCAAGAATATGGTATGTAGCATTGGGCAAACGAGTGTGAGCATTTTATGTCTCCTATTACCCTTGCCTTTATTTAGAATAAAAATGTTCTACGATGACTCACAAATCTGAAACAAATGTATGTGCTGAGATGCAGGTTATGTCTGTCTGTCTGTCTAAAGATCTCCATGTCTATTAAAAGAAATAAGCACAAGCAAATAATGCAAAATACTGTAAATACTAGAAACAGAATTGCAACTATATAAAGTACACTATTTCACCAACTAAATGTCAAATACTGAATTTTGGTTGCAGTATATACATGGTTATTGCTCCTTAAAGAGGAACTATCACTTTTATGGAATTATACCATTGAATAAAACATTGAAAACCATCTATAACTCGTGTTTTATTCTTTTTTTTTTCATGAGATGCTCTGTTTTCCCTTGTATATGTATATTTTTAAAAATACAATTGACACCAGAATCCAATCAGTCCTGGCACAACCATGTAAATAGTCAAGATGTTTGCTAGCAGTTTGACCAGGCCCTGCTTCCTGTCCCTTCCCATCCAGTTGTGAGAGCTGGAAGTGTCTGCTAGGAGTTTCCATTAGCTCTCATAAGTTAAGCCCTGCAGTAAAGGGTCAGTTAATTGGCTGAGAGAGTCAACTGATCACTAAAACTAAACCCTGTACCTCCAGGCTTAATTAAGGCTCAGCACTTCCAGCTATCATTGAGGCAGGGTGCGGCACAGAAATAACAATGTGCTGTAGTAGTTGTGGTGCCTGGAGTATTCTTGTCAAGACAGCACCCTCTCTCTGGCTTTACTTTGCAAATACAAATTATAATCCCTTAAAAAAATAATAAAAGCCTGTCATATGTCCTAATTATTGCCAATATTGGGGGGTAAAGACAGAACAATCAAATCAGGTTACAAAATGAACCCATATGATCTTATCAGCAAAATGCAAAAGTATACTGCATTTTTGGATAGATCCCTCCCCTCCTAACTATCACTACTTCACACAAAAATCTCTTTCCTAGTCCATATGAACTGGGTAGAAACCTTGTTAAGTAAAAGTACCTTAAGGAGATTCTTTCTTACCTGCCAACCATATATCAACACAATAAAAGTCAAAATCAAATAAAAAAAATTTAATCCAAAATCCAATCAAAAATGAAAACAAAATCCAATTAAAAATTAAATCCACTTTTGAATTTGCAGACTGGTACTTCACCAATGTTGTGACTGGCCAGCCCTCCATAATGTCAACTTCCAAAAACAAGTCACCTCAAGCTAGGTGTTGCACTAACTCAGAGCATTTGGAGGAAAGCATGTTTCGTAGAATTTTGTTTGTTTTAGTTTATTGTTTCATTTATTATATTATTTATACATACATAAGGTGGAGCTGGCAAGATTGATAAATATTACATCTATAAGAAAAAGCATAAAGATAAATAGAAATAGTGAAATATTGCCTGTACAAGTGATAGTAAAAATATATATGGTGTCACTCACAAAAGTAGAGCTAAAGTCATGTGGCTCGCATGTGTAGTGCAGCGGGACCATTACCATGATGTCCCCATCCTTCTTCCTCTTTAGTGATATCCACAAAATGCCTTTATTAAGAACAAAATAAAACAAAAGTATACTTGCAAAGAAATGTTAAAAAAATCAATGCTAAAAGTCCTGGCTATTGCCAAATAATCATGAAACACGTTTCACTGTCTTCACAGGGCTTCCTCAGGCGGTGTCTAGTTTCTCAGTAATATGTCCTTCTTTTATATGCCCCCAGTGACCTCCTTCCAGTTCAGTGTTTGGTGTGTGGAACCGTAACGCATTATCCATTCCATTTTCTACTTCCGGGCGCATCTGGTTGACATCACCTAGACGTGTTGGTGGTGGTTCTAGTCTCGCACATGCGCAAAGTGGTATGAAGGGCCGTAAATACCATTTCCTTATATGTTGGAACACCTCGTGTGTTCCAAATGTCCATATTATAAAAATGCATTGTATATGACAAAAAGGATAATAAAAAATAAGGGTTACAAAATATAAAAGATTTTTTAATTTTTAAAGTGCTAGAGGGTTGAAACATTTTGGTTACAATTAATTGTTATAGACCCAAAATAAGAAAAAAAATAGTTTCTAGTGATATATATATTCAAGAGGGCTAAAACACTTTTTAAACAATGATGAATAAATTTAAAATAATACCCAAGTATGGGATATCCCAAAGATCAAGTTTTGAAATAGAACAGTATCAAAATAATATTTCTTATTAAAAGGGGCTAAGATATTCCTTGAATAATATAATCTCCTAAATAAAATGGCATAGTTCGAAGACTTGGTTTAAGTCATGAGGTACAAGTGTATTGAAATTAAAACAAAATTTCATCTGTTTGATCATCTTGTTGTAGTCATCCCCTCACCAATCTCTCTTTACTAGTTTAAGAACACAAAAGAACAAGCCTTCGGGATTCCGTCCATGGGTCATGTTGAAGTGGATGAAGACACTATGGGTTTCCAACCCTTTTTTTGATGTTCCTACATGCTCTGCTACCCTGACACTAATGTTTCTGATTGTTCTTCCTATTACATGGGCACTTTAAGATATATATAATTCCTTTCGAGTGACACATAAGATGGTCTTTGATAGTAAAATCTCTGTTTACATACTCTTGGATGTTGATTATATGTCACTTTTTATTCTTTGTAGATCTACAGGCTAGGCATAATCCACAGCCGTTAAAACCTGTGTTTCGGTTGAGAAAATGTTGTTATTTTGGGTGCATAGCAGCTATGAATTAAAGATTGCTTCAGGTTTCTTGTGCCTCCATAAATAATTTTGGATTGTTGAGGTAGAATTTTGTTGAGGACTGGATCTTCCTGTAGGATAGGCCAATACTTTTTAATTATCTTACGAACTTCTCTATTTTTGCCGTTAAAATTACAGATAATAGGGATGTCTCCATTTGAAGTATTTATATCTTCCTTTTTTTAAGCTAAGAGTTTTTTTCATGAAATTTCTTCACCAACTGACTCCAAATCTCTCTCTCTTCATATCTCTTTTCCAAGAATAGATCTTTGATCTTTTTTGACTGTATTACATTGTCTTGGTCTTCAGTACAATTTCATCTAATTCGTGGAAATTGGCCTTTAGGAGTGTTCTCAAGCCAAGGCTTATGATGGCAACTGTTTCTTTCTATGCATCCATTTGCATCTACGGTTATAAAAAAAATGTTTGTGGATATCATATAAAGCTACTGACCATTATTGGCACTATAAGGCACCAGGACCGGAGGATCTCTGGAAATGTATCTTGAATATTTCCTTCTCAAAAATGTTCTAAAGAGGAAGTTGTGTTTTTTTAGGAATCCACCCAAGGTGTTGTAGAGCTTTTAAAATTGTTTTAACAGACCCTATACTGCACATTCTATTTGTCTTTACTATATATTGCATTATCCCCTGTTGCAGTTAGGAAGTGTTAAATATGTCCTTCCTTTTAAATACGGAGTACACAGTAAATGATATAGATCAGATGTTCTCCACTGAGGTGATAAAACACCACACACCGAACCTCAAATAAAAGAAAGACAAATTACTGAGAGACTAGACACTGACTGAGTAAGCCCTGTGAAGAGGGCGAAACGCTTTTGGGATTATTTGGCAATAGCCAGCACTTTTAGAATTGACTTTTTAACATTTCTTTGCAAGTAAACTTTTGTTTTATTTTGTTCTTAATAAAGGCATTTTGTGGATATCACATACAGCTACCAACCATTATTAGCACTATAAAGCACCAGGACCGGAGGATCTCTGGAAAAGTACCCTGAATATTCCCTACTCAAAAGTGTTCTAAAGAGGAAGGTTGTGGGCATCATGGTAATCCCACTGCACTACACATGTAAGCCACATGATTTTGGCTCTACTTTTGTGAGTGACACCATGTATATTTTTACTATCACTTATACAGACAATATTTCACTATTTCTGTCTTTCTTTATGCTTTTTCTTACAGATGTAATAGTTATCAATCTTACCAGCTCCACTGTATGTATGTATAAATTTAGATTTTTTTCTGGTTGTGATTTTTGGAGATTCCACCCAAGGTTTTTTAGAGCTTTTGAGATTGTTTTCACAGACCCCATACTGCACATTCTATTTGTCTTTATTGTATTATTTAACTATTATTTTTTCCCACATCCTTTCAACAAAATGTCATGCAATAAAGCCAAGTACATAATTTTTTTAACTTTATAAAATAACTTTTGTCTACATTATACTGAATGTATCAGATTGATTCATGACAATAAAAATAATCTGAAACTAAAACAAACAAACAAACAAAAACAACCCACAGACTCCACCTTCATGCTAACTAAATACTATGGTCAAGTAGGAGGAATACAGGAATTGCATTGGTTTTAAATTTAAATGTGTGTTTAAAAGGACCACTAAGGGATTTTCTAAGGGAGTGTGCAACACTGTAAACTCTGGATCCCTTTGTACATGTAAATGTGAAATTGTTTATTTTGTTTTATTAATTGTTTGTTTATTGTTTTAAATTAAAATTTCAGTGCTCTATGAAAATGTCCTGTACTATGGTGTAATGGACACATAATCTTTTTTAATGTGATGTAACATTTTGTACAGTAAATTTTTATATTTTCTATCTACTGAGTTTGTCAGTAGATAGAAAATTGTCTATTAACTGAGATGATATATTAGTTATGCAACCAGCAGAAATTCTCTCCTATGCTGTGAAATTCTGAATATTTAGAATTTTACCAAGTCAATAAATATATGGTTTAAAAAAAAAAAAAGTTTATTTTAATGTGTCTGGAGTGATCCTTTAAAATATTTTCAATGCATCAATGCAGTCCAATATAGCCTACAATATAGAAAGGCTGCTTGGTCATCATTTAAAAATGGTATGTACCTTGTCAGTCACTGGTTGAACAACCCTGGAGTGTTTTAATGCTGCAACTGCCCTAAATATTCAGTGAAATCTAGCCATGCCTTAGAATTTATAGATCATTTTTGGTTGTCTTCTTTTCCCCCTAAATGCCAGGCCACAGGTGGTGGCATATCTTCTAAGCAGTGAGTAGCCAGCAGCTCATAAAGTGATCTGCACCCAGTTTATGAGCAGATCACAATGCTTCCCCAGGGACCACCAGGGATTAAATGAAAAAAACTTCCCTAACACACTCAGACACTACAAACACAAAACTCAGACACTACAAACACAAAACTCAGCCACACTCATACTACTTTCTGCACTCAAATTTCAACCACCACGCACAACATTTATCTCCCTCCCTACATACAGCTCTCACCTTCCTGCATGCACGTAGCACTCATACACTACACACACTCTCACAAATACAGCACTCAGTTTCCCCCACACACATACAATACTTAGCCACCGCATACACAACTCTCACAAAACCAGAAACCAGGGCCTAGGAGACAGCACCAGCCTAGGGACCTGGCTTTGGAAGCGTCCAGTTATTATGGTTTTCTATCTGGCATTGTGCTCATGGCAGTGGATACAGAGACTAGTGACAGATCTCCACCTTACTCTGATATTTTACTAGCGACTGGGCAACAACAGCTCTCCCTCCCAAACATTTTATTTTAGTAATCAGCCTCTGTTTGCTCACTGTAACTAAACATAGGCACTTTTTCACAGAATTTTGGTTCATCTGAATAGTTATTTTCCTGCAAAAACTGCACAGATGAAAACGCCACGCCACATGGATAAAATTCAGTTAATCCAAACCAATAATATTTTTTGGAACAAGCCTCATATTGTTTGCTGTGTTTTAGTCTAGCATAAAACATCTCAAATATCACATACCTAGAAGATATACACCTCTGTAGCATACGATATTTGTCACAGTGCATGGAGCATTGTAAGGTTATAGTACATGGAGGATCCCTATTGCTGTGGAATTGTAGGTATTGCTGCAACTATCAGACGGACCCTTCATTCCAAAATCTCTGCATCTGAGGGTGCCATGCCTGTCCTTGCTATCTGTTTTTGTATAAGACTCTAGGTCATATTCTCATATTTTTAAAGGGTTTCTGAACCTCTGCTTTGTTAAAAGGAAATAGGACATTTCATCCTCAGGTATAACTATATTTTAAAGCAGTGTACAATGGAAAGCCCTGTTTAAATGTTATTGTAATTTGAATACAGCAAGAAGCACAAACAAAAATGGAATTATAAATACAGGAACTGTGCAGGTTGCGAATGTGAGATGTTTACAAAATACAGTATTTTAGTCACCCCGCAAGGCAGAAGTAATACTGGGTTCAGATAGATAATAGTTAAAAGGGGAACCATTACTTCCCTTTTAATTTATCCATGAAAATGAATTGAAAATCGCCTATAACCTTTGTTAACCTCTTGAGATGTGATAGTTTTGTTTTAAAGGGGGACTGACACTGCACAAGATTTTTAATAAAATGTTTACTTATGTTTATATTTTACAATATGTTCTTATGGGTGCCGCCATCTTAGATCCCTGTCAGTCATTGTTATAACCAAGTCATTTGCACCTGGCAGTCAGGATAGAGAAAGCACACAGAGAAGTGGAGACTAAAACAATGTTTCTATTTCTCCTCCACATTTGCAATGTTTGTACCTGTCTTTCACTTGTCAGACAAATGTTTAATATTATTTTGAAAGAAAATGAGGCATATCATGAAAAAAGGTCAACACAACTTGCAGATGGTTTTTAATACTTTACACAATAGTGTAAATTCCAGACAAGTTACACATCCCTCTTAATTGCATTTTAAAGATGTCACAGTCGACAGCACAATCCATTTAAGGCCTGACAGAGCCAGGGCACACATTGTGTTGGAGGAGAAAAAACATTGACAGGAACATGGCAATATGAAATTAAATTTTTTACATGTGTATGCCTTCTAACTAGCACTATGACTGAAACATAATTCTCTGCAAGTGAGTTGAGTGAGCATTTGTGGTACTAGAAAGAAACAAAACTAAAGCAGCCCAATTCAATAAGAACAGCTTTTGGCATTTGTTCACCTAAATTTGCAATATAGTCTAATGTGACTCTCCCTGCCAAGATCAGCAGACTGATGGGTGATGAAGAGATTGAAGAACCTGATTCTGGATACAAGGCGTGGTTTGGAATAATATCGAGGGACAAGAGATGGAATGTGAGGGAGATATATGTGTTAAAAAGAGGAAAATGTAGTCAGGTAGGTAGATGATATGAGGGCGACACATACAGTAAGGAAATGTAAATATTATATGATGAAACATGAGAAAGGTGGAGACATTGTTAACCCCTTAAGGACACATGATGGAAATATTCTGTCATGATTCCATGTTATTCCAGAAGTTGTATCCTTAAGGGCTTAATAAGGGTGGGTCTTGGAATGAAGTAGGTGTCTGGAATGAGGGAGCTGAGAAATGCTGATGGAGCAGATTAGAGTAAAGTTTA